ATAGAATAAATCAGGCTATTTAGACAATGACAAATGTTTGAGAGATAATCAAGAGCTAAAGGAAGGCTAAGTGGTAAAGTTCTCCTTCAAGACTGGGAGAAAGAGCTACTATGCCTAATACATAGAAACAAAAAAAGAAACAAAGTCAAGCAAAATGAAAAACTAAAGGAATATGTCCTAAATGAAGAACAAGATAAAACCCTGGAAAAAAGAGTGAAACAGAGAAAAGTAATTCAATTGATAAAGAGCTCTTAGTGGTCATAAAATGCTTACTGAACTTGGGAAAAGAATGGATGAATTAAATGAGAACTCCAACAAAGAGAAAATATAAGAAAATACCAAACAGAAGTCCAAAAGTTGGAGAATACAATACATATTCCAGGGATGTAAGGATGATTGAACACCAGCAAATCAACCGATGTGATACACATTGGTAAAATGAAGGATGAAAGTCATACAATTATCTCAATAGACATAAAACAGCACTTGACAAAATTCAACATCTATTTATGATAAAAACTCTCAACAAAGTGGGTATAGGTGGAATATATCTCAACATAATAAAGACCATATATGACAAGCCTATTGCTATCATACTCAACACTGAAAAGGTGAAAGTTTTTCCTTTATTTTTTTAAAGAGTTCTTTAGAGCATGTGAGGAGGGAGGGGGGCAGGCATAGAGGATCTAAAGCAGACACCATGCTGAGTGCAGAACCTGACTTGGGGCTTAATCCCACAACCCTGAGATCATAACCTGAGCCAAAATCAAAAGTCAGATGTTCAACTGACTGAGCCACCCAGGCACCCTGAAAGCTTTTCCATTAATATTAGGAAGAAGGATGCCCACTCTCACTTTTATTCAACATAGCATTGGAGGGGATCCCTGGGTGGCTCAGCAGTTTGGCGCCTGCCTTCAGCCTGGGGCGTGATCCTGGGGTCCTGGGATCGAGTTCCCATTGGGCTCCATGCAGGGAGCCTGCTTCTCCCTCTCCTTGTGTCTCTGTCTCTCTCTCTGTGTCTTTCATGAATAAATAAAAATCTTAAAAAAACAAAACAAAACAAAACATAGCATTGGAACTTCTAGCCAGAGCAGTAATACAGGAAAAAGAAGTAAAAGGCATCCACATTGCAAAGGAAGAAATAAAACTGTCACTGTTTGCACACATGATTTTATATATTAAAAAATCCTTAAGATTCCACTAAAAAAAACTGTTAAGCAAATTCAGCTAAGGTTCTGTAAAGTAAAAAATCAATATACAAAAATATGTCATGTGTTCATACACTAACAAAATAGAAACAGAAATTAAGAAAGCAATCCCATTTACAACTGCATCAAAAATAATTTAAGACCAAGGAACAAACTTAACCAAGGAAGTGAAAGACCTGTATGCTGAATATTATAGAAGACTTTGAAGGAAAAAAATTGAAAAAGACACACCTAAATGGAAAGATGTTCTGTGCCAATAGATTAGACGAAATAACGTTGTTAAACTGCCCATATAACCCAAGGCAATCTACAGATTCAACACAATCCTTATCAACATTTCAAAGGCATTTTCCAGGGACTCCTGGGTGGGTCAGTGGTTGAGGGACTGCCTTCAGGTCAGGCCCTGACCCCAGGGTCCTGGTATAGAGGCCTGCATCCGGCTCTTTGCAGGGAGCCTGCTTCTCCCTCTGCCTGTGTCTCTGCCTCTCTGTGTCTCTCTTGAATAAATTTTTTTTGGAAAAAAAAAAGGCATTTTCCACAGAATTACAATTCTAAAATTTGTATAGAACCATTAAAAGACACTGCATGGACCTGCATTCTCAAACATCCCCAGTTCAGTACCACTTCCAAGCATATATTCATGCTCGTTCTTGTGACTGGAAAAATCATCCTTCATCCTACTGAGTTCCAGAAACGGGAAATGTGCCCTACAATTCCTGGTCTCCCTTAAGGGCCCTGAGCCAACAGCAACTCCAGGATCCCAATATCAGAGGCGGGAGGAGGGGAGAGCCAGAAGCCCTAGGTCACAGCATCCTATCAGAGCCCTGAGACCAACAGGGCGAGGGTCCCAGCGGCTGGTTTCCATTCCCCCGCTGCCCATTCACCCGCCCAGGCGACCCTTGCAGGCCCCTCGAGCTTAGTCCACTTCCCATCTTGCCCAGCCACAGGTGGGGCGTGACCTCGGCTGACCCGCACTCCCAGCTTCAGCTGCTGTCCTGTAAAATTCATTCAAGGCGGGGGATCCCTGGGTGGTGCAGTGGTTTAGCGCCTGCCTTTGGCCCGGGGCGCGATCCTGGAGACCCAGGATCGTATCCCACGTCGGGCTCCTGGTGCATGGAGCCTGCTTCTCCCTCTGCCTATGTCTCTGCCTCTCTCTCTCTCTCTCTGTGACTATCATAAATTAAAAAAAAAAAAAATTACTCAAGGCCCAGGGTCCTGCCTCCAGGCACCTGAGGAAGGAGGACTGGTACGGGAGGGGTGTGGGTTAGGCTAGGGTGATGGCTCACACAAAAGCGTAGAAGTGTGCCTACTCTCCTTTCTTCCTCCTTCTTCACCCAACTTGCCCAGACCCACCACAGCCTTTATGACATCATTGGAAGCCCCGCCCCCACTTCTGCAGGAAACACCTCACTCCTGGGTGGTTATTGGATGAGCCCCGGCCGCCTATGCACAGCCTGCTGGGTAATGTAGTTTCTGTCCTGCACGTGGCTAGGCTAGGATGGGCCTTTCTCATTCTCCGCAATCTTGGCCAAACAGCGCTGCAAGGGACCTTGGGAAATAATGCTCTCCAGCTCCAAATACACGACAGTGCCCAGGTTTCTGTGGCCATCTTTAGTGAAGGCCCATCCTGGGAAAGCTGTAATAGACTTCTCCTTGTGGCCCTAGGCAAGCCTCCTCAACCTCTGAGGGAAAAAAATATAATTAAAACCGTAAAATAAGGGGTTTCCCTGGGTGGCTCAGAGGTTTTGCGCCTGCCTTTGGCCCAGGGCGCGATCCTGGAGTCCCGGGATCAAGTCCCGCATCGGGCTCCCGGCATGGAGCCTGCTTCTCCCTCTTCCTGTGTCTTTGCCTCTCTCTCTCTATGTCTATCATAAATAAATAAATAAATAAATAAATAAATAAATAAATAAATAAATAAATAAACAAACAAATAAATCTTTAAAAAAAAAGTAATCTCAGATGAAACATTTACAATGATAAAAGGAATGAGGACCAAAGAGGGGAATGCATATGTCTATTGATACATCTGCTCATTATTTGTATTAAACATGAATAACATTTCCTTGTGAAGTCAGACTGATGGAATTAACATACATAATCTCAAAATATATACTGAGATAGAACATACTAGTTCATCTTCTAAATCCCTTATATTGCCTGGAAAGAAAGAAAAACATTTTAAGTCTTTTTTTAAATATTTTTAAAAATTTATTTATTCATGAGAGACAGAGAGAGAGAGAGAGGCAGAGACACAGGCAGAGGGAGATGCAGGCTCTATGCAGGAAGCCTGCAGTGGGATTCAATCCCAGGACTCCAGGACCACGCCCTGGGCCAAAGGCAGACGCTAAACTGCTGAGCCACCCAGGGATCCCCCATAAGTCTGCTGTTTTAAGTATTTGTAGATTTTAGCTTAAACAATAAACAGAATAAGCTTTTTAAACTAGAATTTTTTAAAAATCTGGATTTTTTTAAACAGTAAGTTTTTTTTTTCCTGTTAGAACCTTTTATTCTGAATTTGTTGGTGCTTCAAGAAAACAGCTTTGCCTATAATTCACTGTGCCCTGAACTAATGACACCAACTTATATTTGGCCAATTAGGAACAATGCCAAACCACATTCTTCTTAGGTCTATTCAGTTAATAAATGGCACTTAACTGATAGTTTCTTTCATATAATCTTTAACAAGAACTCATAAGTTGCATTGATTATGCCCCAAGAGATGAGGGATCGATGGTAATTCAGATGAGCACCTCTGAAAAGATCTGTCAGCTTCCTGTCCAGCTCTAGCCAGATTTTCTGTAAAACCTTGGGAAAAGACTGAAATTCCCCACCAATCTGAGACTGCATGTGAGTTTTTACAACATTAACTGGCAAAAATAAGATTCCCAACATGGCACCTGACAGACCTCCACAGATAAAATTACTGACCAAATGGGCGCTGTGAGTTTTGGCGGTAGGCAGATGCTCCATAATGGGACCTCGAAGGCCAAAGAAAAGGACATTGCTGAATCCATTACAGAAAAGAACAGGTATCAAGCCTCGATAATACTAATTCCATGGCATTTGAGTGCCTTGAAAGCCTGGTAAGTGTTTGTAAATTTGTCATGATGCTTATGGTCTTGAAGCAATGTCTGAAATCTTTCCAATGGAGTGAAAATTGCTTCTGTTGTGCCTGCAAGTACTGCCACCACACTACAGGTTGCAAACTCAGGGGTACTGATATGCTTCCGGAGAAGGCAACATAAGCCCTCGTACAGACCAAACATAAGTGCCAGTGTAGTTGTCTTCTGCATCAGTGGGGGAAGGATTCCGTGGTACAAGTTGCGAGAGCCATCCCTCCTCAACTGAAGCACTGCATCCCGGGTTTTGATTCCATACAGCTGCTACCTAAAGAGCACCTTCTGAATGGGATATGTGATTGCTACATTGTTGAAAGCTGCACAGCAGCTACACAAGTAATGCTTCATTTCACCAACATTTGCAATATGAGGTGACATCTTGTTTTGAAGATGTTAGGATGGGCGGTGTCTTTTCATGAGCTTCTGAATCCACCATGGTGCTTAAGATCTTTCTTCTTCATGAAGGTATTTTTAACCTGTAACACTACCTGGGCCTAGTGTTTTGGGGAATTGTAGCTTTTTGATAACTTTCTCGATTTCTTCCATTGTTACTGGTCTGTTAGGTTCTTTCTTCTGCAGTCAATTTGATACTGGATTTCCTGAAATATCCAGGCTCCATAACAGTCTTGCCACAGAAAGAAAAATAAAGTAATCAATGGTAGCCATCTTTTTGCTAGATCATGCCATCGCAGCAGGGCGCCCCGTGCCACGCCCGGTACCGCCAGCCAATAGGTCCGTGAGCCGGCAAGCAGCCACAGTCGTTATTTCTTAAAGGACCAGAAAAAGAACAAGTGAGGCAAAGAAAGCCACAAAATTGGAGGATATATTGATACCCAAATATATATAATATTACATTAGGTAAGTAGGAGATAAATTAAATTAGCAGTCAGTACCTTTTGATGGTTAAAACCTCCCTTCATAAGATACTTAATCTTCATCAAGAAATTTCAGGGGCAGCTTTTGAATTTCCATTCAAAGCAAACCAACATTTTCTGGCATCCTCAGCCACTCTATCTCCAAGAGGGAAAGAAACCAGGGGGCAAAAATGTCCTGGCTTCGGTTGCTGAGGACCCAAGACCTTATGTTGAGGGGTCACCAGATTCTATGATCAAGCTTCTTAAGGCCAAAAATCAGCTAAGATGTCATCAGGACTTTCAGTATATTTTTACAAACAAATCCCATCAGCACATCTCCTGATAAGAAAGGAATAGGATGGCATGAAAATATAACATATTAGTGAAAACAATTTTAACAACAGCTAACATTTAAGAATATCCACAAAGCTGATACCAGGTACAACACTACCTTTTGACCTGCATAAACGCCTTGTGAGGTGCATCAGTCAACATTCCTGTTTCATAGATAATGAATCTGCAACTCACACAGGATATTAGATCACTCAGTTTACAGAGGAGGAAACTAAGAACCCCAAAAAGTCCCTAAACTGGCCTGTTGCGGCCACTAGTAAGCAGTACAGGTGAGAACAGTGCTCACAGGGACGTAGGGCTCATTACTGCCCTTCATGGCTTCCTGCCCAAATTCAATCTGGGAAGGAGCAGGGGCAAGGGCCAGGGCCCCTCAGCATCAGAGAAATAAAGCTATGGCAGATTGACTACCCATGTAACCACTGAGGGGGGAGGGAGTTCTGCTTTTTTTCTGTTCAAGAAAGGGAGCCTTCAGCTCCACTTGCTCACTCAACACACTAGGTGCTGATTGAAAACCTGGAACACAGTGCAGGCCATGGTACATTCCCATGGATGCAAAAAGCTCTCTCCTGAGGACTGAGGAGGGAAATCATTTCCTGGGGCTCACCCATCATCCCAATTATGCACATGTCCTCTGGCTCTGCCTAACATGTCCCAAGTCATCTCCCCACCAATTCCCATACCACCATCATGGGTCAGTCCAGTGACAATGCCCTCCTGGACCACACAGTGGCCTCATCTCTCTTTCCCACATAAATTACTCCCTCTTTAATTCACCCTCCACTCAGCAAACAAGGAGAAATTTAGAGACAAGATCATGCCACTGCCCTGCTCAACCACTTTCTCAGCCTCCCACAACAGTCAGAATAAAACCCACAAAGCCCTGTGCATCTGGGCCTATTCTGTCCATCTCACTGCTCACTATTCATTTCCTCCAGACACACTGACCTTCAGCTGTTTCCTCTAATAAGCCCAACTCTTGCCTGCCTCAAGGTCCTAGAACATGCTGTTCCCTTTGCCAGAAATGTTCTTCTTCATTTTCAAATGTGGCTGGGGCTCCTCAATACCTCATGGATCTGCATGGTATCACCCTCTGTGTACTGTTTGTTCCTCTGCCCATGCTTTACAGTTTAAATTAATCTTCCCATTTTTACAAGAGAGGCCTGTGGAGAAATGACATGACCAAGGTCACCCAGAGGTGATGGGCATAGCTCAGAAGTGCTGGAATACCAATTGTCCCCAGGGTCCAAGCCCTTAGCCACTGGACCACTCTTCCCAATGCACATTTGTCCTCCACATCTAAGTTTTGACCCTGATACACAGGGTCATCGGCACATTATTATCATAGCAACAGAGCTACTATACCACACCTCTGTGCTACCACGTTTCTCCCCTCTAAAGAGCAAGGTCCATGTCTCAGTCACCCACGTATCCATGACACAAGGCACATGCAGGGTAATGGGCATAAAGGTTGGGGTTCTTGTGACCCCTGCCCTTCACACCAGCAAGAGCACAGCAGGGTCCTATAAACACAGGAAGTTAGATGGGAGACAGGGACCATGAGGGAAGAGGGCCCTTCATCCACTGCAAAGCGCATCACTTCTGCTTTGGGATACACTGAGGCCCAGGTCTCTTTGCAGGCCATGTGATAGCAAAGCACTTACGGGTGTGGAAAGAAGGTCCCTCTGCAGAGAATCAAGTTCTGTTTTGGGAGACTGGCCTCCAGTCTCTGCAGTGCCAGGGCTCAGGCACAGGTGAAGGTAATGCCACAGCCACAGTACAAACTGTGCACGTGAAGGAGGACACAGCATGCAGGAAAGCCTTCGGTATGAACTCTCAGATGCCAAGTAACATTTTCCCTCTAGTCGAACAATTTGCCACCGTAGTTACTTTAAAAAGAACTCAGTATGAGTTCTCTGATGCTGACTGAGGGCTGCCTTCTGGTGAAAGGCCTTCCCACATCTCTTACATTTGTAGGATTTTACTCCACTGTGAATCTTTTGATGAGTATTGAGGGTTGAGCTGTAGCTGTAGGTCTTTCCACACTCACTGCACTCATAGAGCTTCTCCCCAGAATGAGACCTCATGTGTCGAGTTACAGAGCAGCTGTTACAAAAGGCCTTCCCGCACTCTTTGCACTCAAAGGGTTTTTCTCCAGTGTGGGTTCTATTATGCCGAATAAAATCTGAGTGGCGGGCAAAGCCCCTTCCACATTCATTGCACACATAAGGCTTCTCTCCACTGTGAATCCGCTGGTGCTCCGTGAGGTGTGACCTGCGGCTGAAGGCCTTCCTGCATTCGTTGCACTCATAGGGTTTCTCCCCAGTGTGAATCCGCTGGTGTTCTGTGAGGTGTGACCTGCGGCTGAAGGCCTTCTCACACTCAATGCACTCATAGAGCTTCTTCTTAATGTGAATGCTGTAGTGTCCAGTGAGATCTGCCTTCCTGAGAAAGACCTTCCCACACTTTTTGCATTTATAGGATTTTACTCTAGTGTGAATCCACTGATGTTGAAGGAGGAAGTGATTCTTGATAAACTCTTTCCCACATTCCTTGCATTTGTAGGGGTTCTTCCCTCCATGAATCAAGGGGTCTCTTCTTGATCTATGTGGTTCACACTCATGGAGAGCATCTCCTGGAGAGTCTTGCTCCCATAAATCCTTTGTGGGAAGATTTTTACTTGTTCCCAAATCATCACATTCAGGGTTAACCTTTCTAGGGAGGGATTCCTTATAGGGGTCTGTCCCTGTCCTTATGTGCCCTCCCTGTTTTTCTGATGGTCCTTCTTGTTCCCTGGCTTCTCCCAACGTGGAAACACTGGAGTCTTCCTCAGTCAGTAACGTGTGGGGTGAGCATCTCTCAAACAAGGCTGGTTGAGAAGCAGAAGGCTCTGTGGTATTGGCTTTTGCTTTGTCATCTGAAGAGAATTCAATACACAAAAGAGGCCCATTAGCAATACCAACAAAGAAGGAGCAAAATTACCAAGCCAGTGGAGAAAGGAAGATAGAAACAAGGCCCCTGACACCTGCTGGATTTTCACATCTCTGAAACTCAGGTGTCTTTTTGTTTTTTCTGGTTCTTGGATTCTTGACATCTTTAAAGGGACAACTTTGGGGAGAATTTAGGGTAGAGGCCAGAATGAAATCCTGTCCTCCCTATCCAGAGCAGAGAGAAATGATTGCACCATGTGCTGTGTTTGTTCTGAGAAAGGATGTCACAGGGGACACAGGATGGGGCATCTAACCCAGCCCAACTGAAAGAAAAAGACAGCTGGGAGGTGTCTTGAGATATGAGTCCCAAGGAAGCAAGAGTTACCAAATACAGGAAGTGAGAGGGCACTGCAGTCAAAGGAGGCAAAGTATACAAAGGTACAGATTCTAGAGAGATCTTGGATGCCGAGGGAACTTCAGGGCATGAGAGAAGGGATGGCAGAGATGTGGGTGGAGATGCAGACAGGGTGTAGACTCCAGAGTTTGGAAGAGTAAGAGTAAGTATAGCCATTTCTGCTCCCAGGACAGTGTCTACATGGCTGAGAGTGAGCAGGACTGGGGGCGTACATATTAAATCTACTGTGTGTGAGGAACAGCTAGGTGATTAAAACATAGACAAAAGCTAGTAGAGAAATCTGATATATTTATGTCAAGATATTAAAGAAAAGCTGTACAAATGGGAGAAATTAATAACAAAGTTGTTAACTCTCCTCAAATCCATATATAAGTTCATCATCATGCCAGAAAACATGATTTCCCATGAAACTCAACAAGCTGATTCTAGAATTTATAGGCAAGAGTTAAGGGCCAAGAATATCACTGGAAAAAAGAATCATAAGGAGATAGGGTTTGCCCTCCCAGGATTAGGGTTAGGATGAAAGTACAGGCATCAAGACAGTGTGGTATTGGCACAGATATAAGGAAAACTGGCAGCAGGATAGAACAGTGCTCAGACACAGACTCTTGAACACATACAGCTATCACAGACAGCAGAGGTGACATAGCAGATTAATGGGAAAAGAAGGGACTATATGATAAACGGAGCTAAAAAAAACTGGTTTCCCACATGCAGGAAAAAGTTACTGCATTTTTACTGCACATCATACACAAGTTAATTCCAGATTAGTAAGCAACAGAAAATGAATATAATTTCATCCTGGTGTAAGGAAAGATTTCCTAGCAAGATATGAAAAGCAGTAATCATCAAACAAAAGATAAACTAACCTGACTAAATAAAATATGAATTTCTTTTCTTTTATGATGCTTAAAGAAAATTTCTAAAAAGCTAATAGAATACAACTGTAGCACACAAAATAGGTAAAAGATGAGTATCAGGAATATACAAAAAAAAATCTGAGAAATCAAAAAGGGAAGAGCAATCATCTTGGTGATTCTTGGTGGAGACAAAGGGAGAGCAGGCTGGAGGAGGTAAGCCCAGAAAATGGCAGGAAGGACTGTGGGAAGGATGGCAGTCTGCTCTGAAGGCCTTCTCCATCAGCCATATCTCAAATGAGAGGAAGAAACCAAGAAGGAGGCTGCCATGTCCCCACATGGAGGCAAGGAGAAGACTTACCCAGTGAGACAAGAAGCCTGCAGGTCTCTGTCATCACCTTCCAGTACAGTGTCCTCTGGGGCAGGTCTAATAATTCCCACTCCTCCTGGGTGAAAGTCACAAGCACATCCTTGAAGGTCACCGGTGCCTGGAAAGTCAAACACAGTCATATTATGTGCTTCAAGGCTATTGGGTGGGATCAGAGCCTGTAACTCAGTCTCTGGTAAAGGCACAGAGAGACCCAGGCCTGAATCACTGAGGCCTCCACCGAGGCCTCCTGAGGGCCAAGCTATGAGCTGGCCCTAAGGGGGAGGCAGACATGGCTGACCGAGAAGCCCTCCATGGTGCACACAACAGAGAAGGACACAGACAACCACATTCCTGTGAGGACCATGGGAGCAGATGGCAAGTGGTCTGGGATGCCAGAGGAACAGGGAAATGATCGTGATGATAATTCTAACAGTTAAAACAGCAGCAGCTAAAGCTGAGCATCCCTGGTCCTTCCAATGTGCCCACTGGGGGCTGTGAGCTTCACATGTTGTGGTAAAGGGAATAAATGTCCACAGCTCTGGAACAGATGCCCACGTTTGAATTCAACCTCTTGAACCAACACTTGCTTGCTGTGTACCTTAGGGAAGCCACTTTATTTCTCTGAGCCTTGAGCTCCTGTCAGTAAAATAATTATCTTCTCACTTTATCAGGTTATTTGAGAATTCAAGAAAAAAACATTTAGAAAGCCAACACTAGAGTCTCTGGCTTATGATGGTGCTCTGTACGTTTTGTTATTTATATTGATCCTACCATAGCCATGAGCATAAATGCCTCATCAGCTCCACATCACAGTCAGCAAGCTGAGACTCAGGGAGCTCTAGTGAGTCACCCTGCGAGTTCCTAGTCTACACAGCAGAGGTGGGATTTGAACCTAGGTCCTTCTGGCCTGGGTCTATTGTAACCCCCACACTGCTCCATTATTGCAGGTGAAGCACTTCTAACAACTGTTGCTGTTAATCTACTTCTGCCATCCTGGCCATACTTCCATGGACATGGGCAGAGGATTGGAGCCATCCTCACCCACCTCACGCAACAGCCACTGAAGGGGGTGCCACTCATCCTGGGAGTGGCAGCACCTGGGCCAGCTCCCCATGCCCATGTGGGTCCCCCAGCCTTCTCAGGTCCCCCAGCCTTCTCAGACCCCCCAGGAGATTCCACAGCGAACTATCTGTCAACTTCCCCTTCCTGAGTCCTGAAGCATGCATCCCTGACTCATGAATACCGTAAGAACCAGGGAACCCAAGTGCATGAGAACAATGCCACAGTGGCCATAAGAACACAGGCAGCAGCCTCTGACTGGCTGTGATGTGTGTCCTGGGTGAGGGCAAGGTGAACTTCCAGCAAATGACCACCTGTGCTCCCCTTCCCAAGACACATCTCAGCTGGCGGTTGGGAGTGTGTGGCAATCACAAGGTCCTCTTGTGACTCTTTAAACAACTCTGTACTCACAGCTTCTGTGACAAGGTTCCCTATCCTGGGTTGGCTCCTCTTGCCCTCCTGTTCCCAAGCTCACCTGGAGGAGAAAGCCCTGCCCACCTCACAAAGTTTAAAATAGGTGTCACCATCAGGCTTCCCCAGCCCACTGTGGTTGGGAATACAGGCTCTGGAAGCTAATGGGCAATATGCGAGTTTCAACTACTAAAGAGCTGTGTGACCCTGGATAGGTAACTGTATGTCTCTAAGCCTCCAGTTCCTCTTCTGTAAGCAGGGATGACAGAACCTAACTCTGAGGAGATGGGAACTGAATGAAACATAGTAACTGTCCCTCAGAGCAAATCAAGGGCCTGGTGAAATCCAGCTCTTATCATTGTTTTGTTATGATTATTTTTCCTCTTTGCTCCTCAAGTACCCTGGCACTCAACTCTGCACAAAAATGCTAGATCCCAAGCCTGTGGGTTCAGGGGGTATTTTAGCTAAAACTAGAAAGACAAAGAAGTGGCATTTGAGCAGAGGCCAGAGGAACACACAGGGATGCCTGCCGGGTTCTGGAGACTGTCCTAGGCAAAGGGAACTGCATGGGCAAAGGCTGGGAAGTGAGCAAGATTTTAGCAAGTGGAGGATGGCAAAGCTGCAGGGCTCTGAGATGGGGAAGAAAGGAAGGGAAGACACATGGGTAGACACAGAGCAGGTACAGGTGTAGCAGGCCATGGTGGGGGTTTGATCGCAGTGTAATGAGAGCCCACTGAGGGGAGTCTCATTCTCCCACCTATCAAGGTCCTGTTACAGCTTTGCCCCCATTATAGGCCTGGGGACAGAGCAGCAAACAGGAATTACAGTCCCTGCTGGAGAAAGATCCCCAACAAGGACCTAAATAACTAAACAAGACAATGTAGATGGCCTTAAGAATTCTGAGGCCAAGAAAAAAGTGACAAGATTAGAGAGATGGGGCCATTTGAGAAAGAAAGCCAGCAGAGATGGCCTTGCTGAAGACAGACTACTGGAATGGCTGGAATGAAGGGAGGGGAGCCACAGGAACAACAGATGGACGTGACATGACAACTCCTAACAGTGATGGGGGCTCTGATGGGAGTAAACAGAGTCACATGCTGGAGAAGAACCTGGGGTCTGTTGTGTGTTTACATCTAAATGCACACCACAGTACTGCATACTGCTACCACTGAATCTTTAATGCATCTACTTTTCACATAAAAGTAAGTATCTTAAACAGAAAAATAATTTTGCCACCATAGGTAGCAAGCCAGCTTACTTGCCATAAACAGATGGCAACTACAAAGATGAATCCAGTGACCTTCGTGGCTCCCAATGTCTGAGGACCCTTTTCATCCCAGCAGAGAAGCAGTAATTCCAAAAATACTGCTGGCACTGTGAGTCTGCCCTAGGCTCTCTCTTCCCCCTAGTCCTCCGGTGGATACAGCCTGAGCAGGATTCCCCTGAGATAAGCCCCTAAGATCATCACAGGACAAAGGGATCTGCTCCTGGAAAACACTGTCCACAGTGATACTACCTGGGCAGTGTTGGACTTTGGAGGACACACATCACACACATGCCCTCTCTGATCCCCTCAAGCCACAGGGACAAAATGTCAATATTCCCACTGACCCTCAAGAGATGGAAGACAAAGGGACTGAGGAAACTTACTCAAGGTCATAGCCCTGGGAAGGGCACAGCCAGAATGGCCCCTGAAGTCTACAGTTAAATGAGCTCATTCCTGAAACTCAGCTCATTCAGACTGTGAAGGGATGGGGGATCCTGAGAAGCCCCGTGTCTTTCTCACTCACACTGCCACAAGGACAAGACCAGGGCACAGGCCTCCTTGGACCCAAGAGATCACAGAAATGAATGCCTATGAGCAGCATTTACTGGATATTCCCTGTATGTGCTGTGCTACCTTTCACACTGCCTCCCACACCTGCCACCAGGACCCAGAAGGAAGATACTGCAGTTAGCCCATTTTGCAGCCAAGAAAGCCAACTCTCCCACGGCTGTGCAGGGAGGGGTGGGTAGAGCCTGCAGCTGAACCTAGACAGTAGGCGCTGGATGTTGTTTTGCACACCTGTAACACACGCTTCAGCTGGGAGGGTGGCTGAAGGTGACCTGGGGAACAGAATTCCGGGTGCGATGTGGGGGCTGCTATCCCTGCCTCCTCTCACCCTGCTGCTAGAGGAAGCCTATTAAGACACTCCTCCTGTCCTCCAAATCCTCCATGGCTCCCACTGACCTCAAAGAGGCCCGTTCTGCAGTCTGCAATTCCAGACTCGCCTCCCTTCCCGGTGCTGTCTGTTCCCACCCGCACACCAGGTCGGCCTCAACTCCCTGCATGTGCACCCCTGGTGCAGGCCCCTAGATCATTCCTCCACATGGCACTGAGGTGGGAACGCCTCCATATTAAGGCGGCACAGCCAGGAAAAGTGATGAGACCCAGGGCAACACTACCCTCCATACAGAGGTGCTGGGGGGTCCCCCACTTACCTGTGCCGGGTTCATCTGTGCCTCTGCAGCCTCCGCGGGACCCCCCACCCCTCGTGCGTGGACCGGGGGCCGTGGGAGGCTGGGAAAGGTCTCAAGGGCTCCGCTGACCTGCACCACCCACCCTTAGCCCTGGGTCGGCACAAAGGGGACACTTTTTCTCAAGCTTGCCGACAGTCCTATAGCTGCGACCTCGAGAGCTGACCCAGGAGCACCCAATACAACCTCCACGAGGACAGCGCCAGTAAGTCTCGCGTGAGGCCAGATCCCAGCCCTGTGCTGTGATTGGCCCAGCGCTACCGCCTCTTGCCGCGGAGCCTGCAGGGCAGTATGGTTCCCACAGCTCCTCCTGTGGCCTCAAGGGGCGCCCTTCCGGGAATCAGCGCAAGGAACCTGTGGGGCCCACATAAGGGCCTTTGGGAAATGACATAATTGGGCTCTGAGGGCGGGGCGAGGCTGCTTCACTGCTTAATCCGCCCTCGCCCCACTTCTGGGGCACTGCTTCTCGGCTTCCGGGACGTGTTGTTTCGTGTGTGCCCAAAGTTTAGGTTTCCAAAGGGACATGGCATACTGCGATAGCGCTCAGAAAGTGAGCCCACCACTCAGAGATAAGCGCTGAGCCCACCACCTCATAAGCACTGTCCTGCTGCTCTTTAGTTCCAGGGAGACTGAATTTGAGAGCTAATTCTGTGGGATTATAGCGAAAATACGGGGTGCAGGTCGAGGGGGAGAGGGCAGAATGATCAGACAGCCTTAAATCGCATGGCCAAGGTGCTGGCTCCTTTTCCCTCAGAAAACATTTTTTTCCCCTGTCTGCATACTCACAGATTGTATTCCTATTCAACCCAGCGAGCAGGACCTTCTCATAATGGGGTATTTCTTACTGCACATTCCAAGACATATCCTATTTCTTTCAGTAGTGTGAAATCTGAGATGTATTTGAAAAGGAGAAGTATTTGCCAAATTTCATTTTCTGTTGTGATGGTGACTGTAGTGGTCATAGGCAGAGAATGTGTAGAAAGTGACCATCTGAACCCCGACATAAATGGGTTTTCTTGATCTCCCTCTGCTGTAACTGCAATGATAGCATCTGTCTGGGTAATTGAAATGATCTCTGAAAACCATTTGTGAAAAGCAAATTTACTCCCTACCAGTTTTAATCACTAGCAAAATTATGCACGATGTTACTAATTACCTCATGCTACGCATTAACATTTATTACATAAAAATTCACTTTGAGGGCAGCCCCGGTGGCGCAGCGGTTTGGCACCGCCTGCAGCCTGGGGTGTGATCCTGGAGACCCGGAGTCGAGTCCCGCATCAGGCTCCCTGCATGGAGCCTGCTTCTCCCTCTGCCTCTCTCTCTCTGTCTCTATGAATAAATAACTAAAATCTTTGGGGAAAAAATTCACTTTGAGAAGGTACCCTGTGTTCTCATTATCTAGCATCTTTATTACTGAGAAGCTGCACATGATTGTGGTTACACGACTCCATGTCCTCAGATCAGAATATGACTTCTCTTCCACCAGACTTCTTATGTCAAGCTTAGTCAAGTATGACTCAAGGGTTGTGTCCCAACTGGAAGGATAGATTTGTTCTTAACAGATGGGAAGGGGTGGTGGTGGTGGAGATAAAAGAGCTTAGAAGCATTGGGATCTCACTTTTGAACGTATTTTGTTTTAGAAACATTAAATATCCAAATGAGGCAGACTGTTGACATTTCAATATAGAACTCTATTTTTTTGGTAAAAATGTCAGCATTTTAATGCACTGATAGAGTGATTTCTTGAATGCCCATACTCTGCAATCCAGACTCAACAGAAGAAGAAATTAATGTTCAGAAATACCACAAAGTAAAAGGTCTCATATATGGATTTTTGCAGTTATAGGTAGGTAAGTCCAATATCTTAGAAAAAGAAAACGTAGAAGTAATTTACCTGGGGAGTATTTAAATACTGGTTGACTTGGAGTACAAAAGGAGTGTTCCTATGTCTCAAACCAGGACCACCTGTGGTACCACTTACACTCTAGATCTCTATGTGAGATCAGGCTGACATAGATTCCAGATGAGATCACATCCCTTGTGTGGCTCCTTTCCTTGCTTCATTCTCCAGCCTTCCATTTTTCCTGATAATTCCTCCTCTGTAAATCACATGTCATTGAATCCTGTGCCAGCTTCTGCTTCCGCAAAACCCAACCTCAGACTGGACACATCTGGCCAAAATGTGAAATAGTAATCATGTGAAGTATATCCAGGATATGAAGGTTTCTTCTCCATAATAAGGTGAGCAAAGAAGATCAAGAAAACTTGCTTAAATGTGTCCTGAAATGAACAAAGCTCTGCAATTTTAGAGGAGGGTTAGAATGCGATGGTGAATCTATTCGTGGGGGAGTGCCTGCCTCCTTAGTCAATACCTGATGCACAGGGCACATGATGTTCTCTGCTGTGACTGTGTGGGATGGATCCCAAGTTCTTAGCAAAACAAACTTTTTCATAACAGCAAAAGGATTAAGGAAGAAGCAAACATTCAATAATTTGTAAAATCTAAATAGATGGAACATAGATTGCAATGTCAGTAGTACTCTCCCAAATGATACTGAAAGATGATTTTTTCTTATTATATACACATAAAAATGAGTCATTGTAAAAAAGAAACAACTAAAGTGACACCAAATTATCAGGGTCTCTTCAATTTTTTAGTTTCCTTTTTGCCTCTTTTGAGTCATGCTTTTTCACTGTAATAGTAACTAAGGTGGAATGTGACATACAACTTTTAAAAACTTTAAAGCATATTATCTCACTAAAATTCCTTTGCAGGGTGCTGGGTGGCTCAATTGGTTAAGCATCTGCCTTCAGCTTGGGTCATGACCCCAGGGTCCTGGAACTGAGCCCTGAGCTGGGCTCCCTGCTCAGTGATGAGCCTGATTCTCCCTTTCCCTCCCCCTTTCCCTCTGTGTGCTCACTTGCTCTCTCTCTCTCAAATAAATAAATAAATAAATAAATAAATCTATCTTTAAAAAAAATATAAGAGAGAACTCTGCCCCCCCCCCAAAAAAAAACACAAATAAACAAAAGAAATAACCTCAGGATCCATCTATAAGTTTCTGGGTGAATGAATGAGGGCATAACTGCACACACTTCTCAATATCTGTAGAAGTAGGGACAGGACATCTTTGTATACCAAGCCAGTCAGTATTGTTTCAGTCTTTTTTCCAACATGATTGAGAAGTTAGGAAACATCATGAGCATAAAGCAAATTTTATAACTGCTTATGGGTGTTTTTCATCTGTAAGAAAGACTGGATAAATGGTGAAAATTGCCCTCAGATGAAGCATGCTATGCAGGAATTAAAAAATGCTCACCAAGACACAACTAAAACATCTGCCAAGCATGTCAGTTTACTGTGCAGTATAGCCTCATACACCCACATCTAGTGCTACAATTTTCTGCCTGATTTTATTTACATTTTTAAAAGTGAGGTATTATTGTTATACAACATTATATTAGTTTCAGCTGTATAACATAATGATTTTACATTTATATATATTGCAAAATGATCACAATAAGTCTAGTTAACATCGTCACCATGCATAGTTACAAATTTTTTCCTATGATGAGAACTTGTGAGATCTCACTGTGAAATCTACTCTCTTAGCAACTTTCAAATGCACAATGCAATATTATTAACCATAGTTACCATGTTGCTCATCAGTTCCCCATGACTTATTTATTTTGTAAGTGGAAGTTTGTTCCTTTTGATTCCCTTCACCTGTTTTGTCCATCCCCACTCACCACTTCACAAAAACTCAAAAGCCATAATCCTTCTGACACTCTACCTCATGCAAATTTCAGTTCTTTAAAGTAAAATGTCATATTTATTGCAATATTTGTGTATTTCTTAAACACTTAAAATGTGTAAAACTGTGTTTCTACATTTAATAGGCTTCTATCTTCTTTTTTATGTTTCACTGATGACATTTTTTAGCGTCCCAATAAACTCTGTGATTTTATTTTGGATCCTGTATATTGCAGTGGTTTTCAGGAACATATGCATTGTGTCATAGCAGAACTGATTCTATGGAGTTTTCTCCAGGATATATTCTATTTTTTTTTAAGATTTATTTATTTATTCACGAGAGACAGAGAGCGAAAGAGGCAGACCTAGGCAGAGGGAGAAGCAAGCTCCTCGCAGGGAGCTCAATGCAGGACTCCATCCCAGGACTCCAGGATCATGACCCCAGCCAAAGGTAGATGCTCAACTGCTGAGCCACCCAGGCGTCCCTCCAGGATATATTCTTTTTTTTTTTTTTAAGATTTTATTAATTTATTCATGAGAGATACAGAGAGAGAGAGAAGCAGAGACACCAGCAGAGGGAGAAGCAGGCTCCACGCAGGGAGCCTGACATGGGACTCGATCCCAGGTCTTCAGGATCACACCCCAGGCTGCAGGCAGTACTAAACCGCTGTGCCACCAGGGCTGCCCTCCAGGATATATTCTAAAATGAAAAAGGCATAGTCCAAAACAGTGCACACAGTATGCCATATTTTTTTCAACCAAATAGAAAATTTTAAATAAAGGAAACAAATGTAAACTGTAAACAGGTAGAGAGAAATGAAAACTTGAAAGTTTCTTGTGTTTTCTCTTTCATTTGTAGAAATTTAAATATTTTACATAGTTTTTATACAATGTCAAATCAAAATGACACTTATAAATCCTTAAAATGAAAGGCAAAAATGAAAGAAAAAGTGAGCTTTATTGTGTGTTGGTCTTGTGTCCTATCTAGAAAAAGAAAAAGCCTTCAAATGGCTTTAAATCCCAGACACACACACACACACACACACACACACACACACACACACAGGAATCAACTGAATAAAAAGTAATGAAATCTGAATAGGAGCTGTGTATACTATCATTGTTATGCAAAATGTTACCATTGGAGGAAACTGAGTAAAGTATTCACGAGCTTTCTCTGTATTATTTCTTATAACTGCATGTGAATCACTAGTTTATCTAT